GTCGCCGGCCTCTAGATGGCCGCTCATGGTGGCTCTTGGCAGCTCACACGGGCTGCTGGCCGCTCACGCTGGCTGCCGGCCACTCACGGTAGCTTATGGCAGCTCACTGCAGCAGGGGCTGCAGCCTACACCGTTGCCAGCAACTCACGCAGCCCACCTCCAGGTTGAGCTGTTGTTCACCATCTTAGATGTAGAGGGCAGTGTCACTGGCCCCCATGGGGGATCCGAACCGGAGCCCTGCTGCTCAGAGGTGGTGTCCCAAGCCAGCTCTTAACCAATGTGCCATTTGGCTGGCCCTCTCCTTATGTTCTTAAACCTCTTTAGCTGGTGCTTAAAAGCTGTCATCTTCAGGCCCCAAATTACCTTTCAGCTTTATCTCCAGTTATGCCCTTACAATAACTATAAGCTCCAAGGAGCCTAATGAAACAAATTGGAAAACATTGCTAAAAATGTAAGGCCCTTTCTTTAATTATGTATTATCATTTTATGAAACTATATAAAACATAGTTATTTGTCACTGGTTTAGTAGAAGATTGCATTCCAAAATCCTACTTTAGAAAAGTACAGTTGATTCTGGATATCAAGTGAATAGATTTGTTATTTCTTCATAGTCTGTTACTTCTTATACCCATCTTTCAAGGTTTCCTCCAATCCTACCCGCTTGGCAAAGTCTTCTCAAGTTCCAGAAAGTGTTATCTTTCTTTGGATTTCCATAGTACCTTCTCTTTAACAATTACTAATTTATTTTGTTACTGTTAAAGTATTTTTTATATGCAGTCAGACTGACCATGTTTACATGTGTTAATATACCGGGGGTGCCAAAAAAAATGTATACAAGTGGACACTAGTCAGCGCTGCTCAAGCAGTAGTTCGCCATAATCAGAAGTGCCTGGACGCTTTGAGCACCTCTTATAATTGCAGAAATCAAACGTGACTTGTATTCATCTTTGTTATCAGTATATATTGAGTATTACAATTTTAATACAGTTTTCCTTTCTTAAAATGTGTATACATTTCTTTGGCACACTCTGTATTTTTGTATGATCTGTGTGAGTTAATTATATGTGCAGATACACAGCAGTATACTTGGTATAAAAGAAGCCTGGATAAATGCTTTGGCATCTCAGAAGACAGATGTTGATAACCACTTGCTGGAGAAATTAGAAAAGTAACCCTTGGGCTGGACCTAGAAGAACAGGTGTGATTTGGGCAAGAAGAGATTGGAATGGTGGGGTTTTCAAGCTGAGAAAAGAGTGGAGGCAGAGTTTCGACAGTAGACAACACAGGGCTCATGTGTAGAAAGTAAGGGATGCAATGTGGTTGGAGCCTGAGATCACTGAAAGAGCCTAATTGGAGATAAAGTTGAAAAGGAACGTTGGGCAACAAGATGAAAGACTTCGAGAGCCAGCTAAAGAGGTTTTAGAATTGAGAAGATATAAAAACAAGTTTTTCTTTTCAGTTACATATCATCTGACCAGTGGTGGAGAAATATTAGAGGAAAAATTATGCATTTGATCTAGTCTGTACTTTCACTGGTTATATATTTTTTTTAATTTGTAGTATGTTAAAGGACCTTGACACCTGTGACAGAAAGAAGGATGATCTTAGCACCTCAGAGGACCTGTCAAATCCTGAGAAAATGCTTACTCGGCAGTCTAACCAAGAAACCAGCACAGACTGTAACAGTACAAAAAGTATGTTACACATGCCACATATTTTAACTGCATACTTTTTAAAAGGAAGTAGGATTGTCTTTTTACCTGTGACTATAGTATAAGATGTCAAATTTATAGTTCCTTTCGCTCTAATATCAAGCCATACCTGTTCATTGGTTAGCCAGGATATGTTTGAACAACTCATACCTTAAATACCTTAAACTCATAAGGTAATTCATTCTCTATTTTGAAAATGCTACTTGTTAAAAAATTATTTCCTATATTGAACCAAAATTTGCCTTCCTATAACTTATTCCTTGTGAGGTAAGTCTAAAGCTTCCAGATGTTGTTGTGTTTTGTTTTTTTGTTTTGTTTTGTTTTTTGTTTTTAAGGCTACATAGTATTAGACCTTTGAACTCTTCTTTACTCATTTTTTTTTTTTTTTTTTTTTTTAGCTGAGCCATCCTGCCACCTTTTGGCAGCTCAGCGGCTGCTCAGCTCGGGCAGGACTCGTGAGCCACTGTTGCTCAAAGCTCGCACTCTTTTAATTTTTTTTTTTTTAAATTGGGGAATTGGGGGATGGGAACAGTGCTGGGGAATTGGGGAATTAGGGAAAGGGGAACAGACAAGTTGCTGTCGTTTTGTTCTTCAGTCTAGTTGTGGAGGACTTTGCTTCACTGGCCCAAGTTGGCACCATCATTGCGCTCTTC